ATAGACGAGCACGAAATCGGCCTGTCAATCTTCAGCAAAAAACCCTTTGCTTTGGCCAAGTCTTAAACGTTATAACCGTTGAGCTCCCATCACATCCCTCGACTCCCCAGGACGGCCCCCCTAAAACTTTTATTCTGGCTCACCTCAGGCGAGCTGCCACCACAAAGCAAAAGATCGGTACTAGGCAATGGTACTGGTTAGAGGGTTTTGCTGCCGAAGAGCTTGTGGATCTTGGATCTGTCAACGAGCTGGTGGGGAGGGTGAAGAGTTTGCGGAAGCCCAGGAGGACTTATATCATTGACTGGGGCACTGAAGCCAGCAGAGTGGATATTGTCATGTGATTATGGCTGACTATAGCTGTGTCACACGGGTCCATGACCTACGTTACAAGCTGTATATATGAATGTATCATGTAGTTTATGTAGTAAGACATGTCTATGTATGCAAAAATCCCCACGCATCAAGCTCGCGTGGGTCGAGATCAGATTACCCTTCTAAAGGGTGACGGAATCATCCAATTGTTGGGTGATCCATAGTGCGAGAGGTTGGTTGGGTTAAACTGTATAACCGATAACCTTTCAAATAGTTGAAAATAACCCATGTGGGTAAGAATAACCGTGCATTTGGGTGACGTCCGTCAAATAACCTTCCGCGCGGCCCGTAGTGCGATAAATAGCAACCTCTGAGGTTTGTGCACGTTGTAGATTATTGTTGAGTTCTGTTCTTGCTGAAAGATGCGAAGTATGGCATGTACACCTTGTGATTTGCGAGCCAGGGTAAGGTCAATGACAGTGTCATGCTTTTGTTTGGTCCCGATCGTCATTAGTCCATTTCAATTCTTCCAACCATTTTACGCAGTGCTCGTACTGATTGAACTGTATTGATATCACCGCCCGAAGACCTCATCATAAAGCCTACTACAAAGCTACACCAACACTCTGGCTCCCGCTCCTCGGCAACCCTCCACTTCCCTCGCTCTTCCCGCTCTTTCCAGACCGAAGTCCCAACACATCCGTCCAATCCCCCTTCTCCTCCGCCGCCGCCCCCAGAGGATACTCTCTCTCCCACACTTTCCCATTGCCCCTCCCCCACCTGAACCCTCCCTCTCCCTCTTCTTCCCCACCAGGTACATCCTCATAAACCACCTTCTCCTTCGGCCTTTCCACCCACTCTCCACCAGCATCCTTCGTCCACCGCCCCTCGTCTGCGGGGAGCATCTTGCCAAAGCCGGGGAGGAGGGAGAATCTTTCTTCCCGAGCTTCTTGGGGTCCGTTGAAGAAGACGTCGTCGCCGAGAACGAGGCGGGCGGAAGCGGGGGAGAGCTCGTGCCAGGAGTTGGTTTGGGGGGAGAAGATGCGGTGTTTGGGGGTCTGGGTGGTGGGGGATGGGTCTTTGACCGGTTGGATCTTGGGGCTATATGGATCATCAGCGAGGGAAAGCAAGAAAGAAAGAGGAGAGAGACGTACTGGGTATGGTGATGGATGATATGTCTGTCGATGACGGTGGTATACTCTGTATGCACTTGGGGTCTTATATGCTCCTGCAGCCTGGATCAGCTGTGTTCCTCGGACTGAGACTGAAAGAAGAAAGACTTACTTGAATGACTGGTTCCAACCACCTCGTCTGGATATCTACCGTCCCCGGCGTCCCAACTAACCCATCCATCCCCGCCCTTTTGAACGTCTCTTGACCCTCATCTGTCAAAATCGGGTATGAAGCCAAGTTCGAGGATATCTCAGAATGAAGTCTGTCCGACAGTACGCGGCGGTGTTCTTCCAAAGCGGCAAGGGGATCTTCACTCGCCTCTTGCGCAGCGTAAGAATAGGCAGTAACGGGCACACCCCTTTCTGTAGCCGTATCCGACCCAACCAGAGAAGCCTTCTCGCCAGTCGGAGACGAAGGAGCAGTCTCATAAGCCGAGTGCCCTGCCGTAGACGTCGCAGCAGCAGACGGCGCACGGCCGGCTGCGAGGGCTGCTTCCCTCTCGCGCGCGTCTCGGGAGCCTTGTCGGGGGTCGATAGCGAGGCGGGAGAACCCGTCCGAAAGAGGTTGTTCAGGGGAAGGGGAGGAGAGGGAGGATGAAGAAGGGGAGTGTTGAGAGGGGATCCAAGTACCGCTGCCGACTGGAATAGCTAGCCCCGGGCTCGTCCTTGCTTCGTACCCTTGCCCGTGGCCGGCACTTGGCAGGATAAGCTCGTTCTGCCGTGTAGGCGGCGAAGGGAAATCATCCATACGCCCTTCTTCTTCCAGCTTTCGCACGCTTCTCAGGGTCCCGCCTCGCTTGAGACCGTTCGTACCGGGGACGACGGTCCCGTCTTGGGATAGGGAAGTGGAGGTGGTAGCGTTCGAATCGGCGCTGTTGGGCGGGGAGAAGCGAGAGCGCGATTGGGGTTGACAATGACGGGGATCGCGAGAAGGGTCGATAACTACAACGTCTTCTTCTTCCCTCCTCCCGGCGTCGGCAGAGATGCCAGTGTCGAACTGCGCCCTTTGCGGAGAAGTGGCGCTCACGCCATTCAGCCTCCCATTCACACTCCCAAAAGTCGGCTTTGGCGGTGTCGGCGGAACGACTGCTCCCTGCATCGCACCCCATTCTCCTTTTCCCCTACCACCAGCAGACGCTGAAGGCGTACGCCTCAGGAGCCTCGAGCTGCTCCCATTTTTGCTGGAGGTGGACTGGGCGAGGTTGGGGGTGGATTTTGAGGCCGGGGAAGAAGGGGAAGCGGCGGAGGAGGAGGTGGACTTTGATTTGCGGTGGAGGATCTTGTGGAAGAGGGAGGGCATGGTGGGGGGTGCAGCGGGGGAGGGCAAACAGAAGGACCAGAAGTGGATGGTCGATCAGCCGGGGCCTCGCAATGACGTCAGATAACGGTGTTCATCTTCCACGTCGACATATTCTACATCTCCTTTGCTTTTTGCAGCGTGAGGCCGAAGGTCGTCAGTATGCGTCAGGCCGGTAGGCTCTGCTTCCTAGAGGGGTATGTATGTCCCAAAGGTGTGCATGTGGATGTTTGAGCATGGCCTGGCCCTGGCAGAAGAGAGATGTGGTGATGACCCTTTTTGAAATGAACACGTACTACTACGTAAAGTACAGAGAAGCGAAGCACGCGCGACAGATCTCGCCATGCACCAGCATATCATCATCTCTCGCTCCAGCAAACCCACATCTCCTCGAACCTCCACCTCTCATCTCACTTTCGCACATGACGAAACCGTCCCTCCATTTTATTTCTTTGGCCTTGTTTCCTGGCGAGGCCTTCATACCCCTGACCTCTCTTCTCTCAAGCTGCGTTGTACACTCTCGTGCGTGTCTGGATGGATTTCTACGAGTCGACAAGGCAGGCCATGCAAAGCAGTCCGTGCATGGAAAAGAGAAGCAAAAGAATGCACCACAGAACCGGAATCAGGGACCCGGAAAGGCGGATACGTACGTACGCCAAACTTAACGCTAAAACTCGGAACATCCGGTGCCGCGCCGAAAGGCTGGTGACTAACCAGTTTACTCGCAAAGAGGATCATAGAGTTTTGGACGACGGCGTCTTTCTGTGGAGACTCTTGGAGCGGACCTCTTGGGTACTCTTTTGGTACCCCCCGAGGATACAGTACATGAGGAAGCAAGTGTTCATATGTAGTAGAGATGAGAGACGGGGCGTCCAAGAACATGCTTCGGGCGAAAGCAGCGACGACGCATCCCACCCTGGCGTTTTCTCAGCATCGTTCTAATAACCTGACGAAATTCATATGATTCATAAGTCTCGTATAGCATTTCCTATTTGCTACAAGTAGCATCAGTCTATTTGGGATGAAGTGACGATTACAGCACTCTGCAAAACCGAGGCCGTTGAAGCTAAATATGTAAATGAAAAAGGTAACGTCAATCGCGTCAATATCCTCGGTTCAAGACAAACTCCCAAGACCCAAGACCCGAATGGATGATCATGATCCGTGATAACCTCTCGTCCACTCCCGAAAGAGAATGCAAAGGATCGTCATACCTTGTCATCGATACCAACCTATGTACTCGGAATGTCGAAGACTTGCATCATACCGCCCGCCCGCCCGCACGGGTCGGCCAGAGCCAAGGGTGTGACCGTTCGAGCCCCGGACGTCCGGGGAGAGTTGGGAGAAGGCATGCGTCATGCCGAGTGGTATGTAACCTTCTATGACTCTATGACATCGCTCGATCTCTTCCCCTATCCCAGCCCACAACATATATAAAGCCTCTCCACCTCCAATATCTCCTTCTTCTTTACATTTCCCGTACAGCAACTTTCCACCTTCACCACCACTACTACCCAGCAAAGGCACAAAGCAACTTTCCATCAACCATGTCCAACGTCACCCAAGGAGTCAAGGAATTCTTCAGCGGTTCCACCAAGCCCGAGACTACCGAAGTACGTTCCTCATATCTCTTCTCGTTCGTCGTGTATGGAAGAAAGACTGACGAAGGTCGGACAGGTCTGCACCGAATCCGCCCCCGAGGTTGTGCAAGAACATGTCCGTCCTCAGGAGCACGTCAAGACTGCCGACGCTATCGACCGTGAGAGACATGTCCACCACCACCAAGTACGTTTCCCCCTCATACTCGCATGCTTGATCATAGCTGACTTTTCTTCAACAGCACCGCGTTCAACCCGTCGCCGACTCCCAAACCCTCCCCGAGAAACACATCCACTCCACTGCCCCCATCGTGCACACCGAACACACGGAAGACATGCTGCCCGAGCACCAACAGACTTTGCAGCAGCAGCGTGGGTTGCACCAGAGCCAAAAGACGGAGGGTGGTGTGGAGAGGAGTGGGGAGCATGTGGGTGTTGCGGTGAATGAGCATGCGCACCATCATATTCATGAGACTAGTGAGTCCTTCTTCTTCTCCTTTTTTTGTTGAGTGGTGTTGATGGAGTACAGTCCAACCCGTCATCCAACGCGAGACTGTCGCCCCCACCGTCGTCCACAAAACCAACGCCGTCCACGAGACCGTCAAGGAAGCGCCCATCGTCCACGAAGTCACCACCCTCCCCACCGTCTCTGCGGCCGAGTATGCGCAGACGAGGGAAGAGCCGGGGCAGGGGGTTTGTAGGACGTATGAGGGGGGACCTGCTGTGGCTGGGTCTGGGGCTGGGGCGGCCGGCGCTGGGACTCACGGTTTAGGCAAGACTGGTACTGGTATCGGCCACTCTTCCCAATCTGGGACTACTGGGACTACCGGCACTGGTATCGGCCACTCTTCCCACTCTGGGACTACCGGCACTGGTATCGGCCACTCTTCCCACTCTCCCCACTCTTCATCAACGACCCCTGGTTTGAACACCACCTCCGGCACTACCGGTACCACCGGCACCGGCACTGGCAAGAGCCACAGCAAGACTGAGGCTGCCGCTGCTGGTGTTGCCGCGCACGAGGCCAAGAAGGCGCTCTAAGTGGGCTCCGGGTTGAATTGAAGAAAGATTGAAAGTAAGAAGACGAGAGGATCAGAAGATTAGTAGTAGTACAATTACATATCGCATCATGTAGCAACTAGCAACTATCAAACAACTTTCCGTTCATACATCATAGCAACTCGTCCATCTTTAATCATCTTGCCAGAAATCTTGTCCGCGCTCCACCCACCACGTCCTGAGGATATGACGCCCACCAGATCCGCATAGAACAACAAGACGGATCAAACCTTCCAACAGATGAAGAGCCGGGTGCTCTGACGAGTTGAGCGAGAAAGGGGTCGGGCTCGCGAGACTTGCCATTCGGGTAGCAGAGGCTCTTCTAGCTTCGTCAAAAGGGGCTCTTCAAACATAGAGGAAGGACATGAGAGTGTCAGAGCTCTAGGGAGGGTGATTACGGTAGTATGAAGTGGGCGATAGCTCTTTTGTCTGCCTTGTGCCATTGAGATCGCGATGAGATCCGGTTGTTTGGTTCCTCAGATCGTGACCAGATATGACTCTGCTCTTTCATGCTTTGCCGGTAGTGCTCTTCTCCTCATCCCCTCACAGAAACAGATCCCTACAGTGCTACCCCGTGGTCGTCAACGCATGCATGCGTATCTGTGCCGAACACGATTTGACTGCGACACGCTCACGCCTGCGCTTTAGACCGTGGGATGGTAGTACCCCTAACCCCCTCGCTCGTGGTTGTCCGAATGCACTGATATGGTATCTCTGCGACCATCTCCTCTTTCATCCTCCTCTCTTCCTAGTATCCCCCACCCCCACAACCCACCCCCCATCGCCCGGTGAGTACTCTCCCACGGCCACCAAAGCACGCTATCATCCCTCTCGGGCAACCTTGAGTCTCCCATTTCCATCCATCCTCCCATGCTCCCCTAACGCCCGATGCAGTCCCGCCAGTCCTCCCGCGCCCGCCTCATCCCCATCCTCGACAAGGAAACCCCCCCGCAGCGCACCATGTCGTGGGACACCCTCAACCCCTTCAGCCCGCGCTGGACCCCTGCCGATAGGAAGCGCGCCGGTGTCTTTTTCTTGTCTGTCGTTGTCGGCCTCGCCAGGTGAGTCAAACATGGGAGGGGCAAGGCTGATGGGTAGTGGGAGTAATTATGTGTACTCGGCGTATGCGCCGCAGCTGGCAAACCAGCTGCAGGTCAGCGCGACGACTGTCAATCTCGTCGGACTCGCCGGCAACTTTGGGGTATACACCACCGGGCCTCTGTGGGGCAAGATAGTAGACTCGAGGGGTCAGAAAATGCACGCCTTTCCTCTTTCCCCTGAGCTATGCTGATATCTAGTAGCCCGCTGTTGACAGGCGGGATCTGCTGCCTGCTCGGCTACTCGCTCGTCCACGCCTTCTACACCCACTCCATCCCCATCCGCTCCTCCTCTTCCTCCGACATCTCCACCCCCCGCCTCGCATTCCTCATGCTCTCCATGTTTCTCACCGGGGCCGGCGGGTCGGCAGGCTTGGGGTCGGCTGTGAATGCGGTAGCAAAGTCGTTCCCTGATGCCACCCGCGCAAGTGCTACGGGCGCTGTGCTGGCAGGTTTCGGGCTGAGTGCTTTTTTGTTTTCTTTCCTTGGCCATCTGGTATGGCCTAGTGATTCCGGTGGGCTGCTAGGGCTGTTGGCAGTGGGCACTTCTGTCCCAATGCTCCTCGGCGGCCTCTTCATCCACCCCGTCTTTCCGGAAGAACCCCACCCAGAATACGAGCACTTGGATCAAGACGAACCTGGTGTAGAGGTGGTGGTGGAAGACTACGACTCGCCCGCCCTCTCACGCACCACCTCCCTCGAGATGAGTCGTTCCATCGACCTCTCCCGCTCCCGTTCCCCCGCCAGAGGCCGCGACCACCACCCCCACGCCCACTTTGCCCCTCTCCCGCACCCTTCCCACCCCTCTCACCCCTCTAACCCCCCGCAGAAACGCTCCCAATCCCTCTCCTCCCTCCCCCCCACCTCCCTCCACCACTCCCCCCTCGACATCCTCCAAACCCCCGACTTCTGGCTCCTCTTTTCCATCCTCGCGCTCCTCTGCGGTACCGGTCTCATGTATATCAACAACGCCGGGACTGTCGTGCTCGCCCTAGGCCGGGAGGGCCATATGCAATTCGACCGCGAAAAGATCTCGGGCTGGCAAGCGAAACAAGTCGGCCTAGTCTCCATCTGGAACTGTTCCGGCCGTCTTATCGGGGGCTTCTACTCTGATTTCATCAAATCCAAATACCGCATATCCCGCATCTGGACACTCCCCCTCGTCTCCCTCCTCTTCATCATCTCCCAACTGTCCGCCCTCTCCACCTCCCACGCCTCCTCTTTGTGGGCTGTCTCGAGTCTACTTGGGGTAGCGTATGGAGCATTGTTCAATGTGATGCCGATGTTGGTGCTGGAATGGTTTGGGATGCGGCACTTTTCGCAGAATTGGGGGTGGACGTCGGTGGCGCCGATTATTGGGTCGAACGGGTTTAATCTTGTGTTTGGGAAGGTTTATGATGCTCATACGGTTCGTTCCCCTTTTCCTTCTCCTGCTCATGTTTGCCTTGGGGTGGGAGCTGATGTGTAATTGTAGGTTGGGAAGATAGGATACCCATCTGGTGAAACGCCTCTCGACCTAGACCTGCCCTTGGGCGACAGCGCGCAAGAAGCCGCAAGAGGGTTTTTGGAGGCTGCTGTGGGAGTCGTGAAAAGGGCAGGAGGGGTGCCGGTACCAGATGACGGGTCGCATGATTGTCAGTCTCCTCTCCTCTCCTCTCCTCCTCTTCTCTTCTACTTCTCGTCTTTCTCGTATCTCTCGTTCTTTCCTCCATATTCCGCTGGATCAAAAGCTGACACTTGATGGGGTGGGGGTTAAACAGGTCTGGTAGGAAACCAATGCTACACCACCGCATTCCAACTGTCCTCCCTCGCCTGCGTCTTGGCCTTGGGGCTGAGTCTGTGGGCTGGGGTGAGGAGGGAGAGGATGGGGAGGGAGAGGAGGAGGAGGGTGTTGATGGAAGAGAGTGGGCGATTACCGCCGGAGAGTGTGCCCGTCTAGGGATCCGTCGGCTTGTGCTTGTGCTTGTGCTTGCCGAAGAGCGAGGAGCGAGGAGCGAGGAGCGAGAAGTGGGAATTGGGAATGTAATCGGGGGAGGAAAGGGTAGATCTAGAACTAGAAAGCGGGGGAAAAATCGTTGTCAGCAAGTTGTCCAAGTGGGGGGGGGGGGTAGTAGGGCCAGAATATACAAGTAGATGGAGATGATGTACGAGTATGCCTAGCCGCGCATCGTTGACTTGTCAGCACGCAGCACTTTGAGCTTGGAGCAGAGCAAAAGCGATCCAGTTTTATTTCATTTCCCATCTATAAAAGAAAACCTTGACTTTCCTTTTCATGTATCGATACAAGCACAAGCACAAGCACAAGCACAAGAAACACACCAACACAGAAAAAACACAGAAAGCACCGAAAACGAGAAGATATAGAACTTTTCGAAGGGCACGCGCGCGTTTATAGAGCATAGAGCATAGAGCATAGAAGGAAACTACTACGGCAGAAGAGTACACTTGTCTTGTTCTATAGGAATGACAAGGGGCGATAGAATAGAAGGAGGCAAAAGACAGAAGGGCAGGGGTAAAGGTAGGGACGAGCACGATAAGTAGAGAAGCAGAAAGTAGAAGCAAAAAAAAAAAAAAAGTCCATGCCCTTGTTTGAGCTCTGCCCGTCTTTGTGCACAGGGGTTTGGTGACGCTGGATGTGTTGAGTGGTAGTGGTAGTGATGGACGACGACGGACTGGAAAACTGAAAATGGACGTCAGCCGTGGGAATGGTTGATGACGAGATAAAGAAGACTTTACCCACAGTTTCATCACACCACTCGCCTACAACGCAACGACAGTCCACCATCCACCACCTCCAAGAAAAATACTGACCCCGGCGTAAGACTGCACAAAGTCAGTACTTGAACATTCGGAGATGAAGACGACTCACGCCAAAGGACTCGAGCTCAAGCGATAACTCGACCAACTCCGACTTCTGTATCGACTTCCATACCCATCCCTTCCTCTTCCACTACTGCCTCAGTATGATGGTCGCCAACATCGACGTCAACGTCAACGTCCATAAGCTCGGGATAGTTGACGATAACGCGCTTCCATAGTAAACCCGCCTCTTGTGCTGAATCCAAAGTCGACTTGGGTGTAACGCTCAGAACGGGGGTGGTAGAAGGCGATGATGAGGAAGATGATGAAGTGGAAGTGGAAGGGGCAGAGGGAGAAAGGAGACGGACTTTGTTGGGGTGTGCGTCCTCCAGCATGGAAGAGGAAGAGTGGGAGGAAGAGGAAGAAGGAGAAGGGGAGAGGTGTCGTTTGGTGGGCAGTTTTGGGTCTTGCATCTCTACGTCTCCTCCTCCTTGCCTTTCTCCCTCAGCCTGCTTGACAGAAGAATCGACCCCCGGCGTACCGACCCTACTTGACGAAGCAGACGACGCGCCGGACCATGAAGGTACGAGCGGTAAAGCCCGGCCTTTGTGTAGGAAGGCGGAGGAGGGGAGGTAGCGCGGGTCGGAGGAGTGGCGGTATGGTGTCGGGTGGGAGAGCGCAGGGCGGGATGTAGGCGTTTTGCCCTTGTCCGAAGAGACAGAAGAAGAAATCGGCACCTCTTTCCCCTTGCCCTTCCCTTTGACAATCGTAACCGGCAAAGGCTGCGCAACCGGCCGCTTGGCCCCGTTCTTCCCAACAGTAGGCTCGACAGCGACTTTCTTACCATAAAGCTTTTCGAGGTGGCTCGTAGGTGGAAACATGCCGCGGATGTCGTGGGGGTGGGTTGGGAAGGGACATGGTCCGAGGGAGGGGTCTGCGAGGTGCGGGCAGGTGGTGGCGAAGATGGAGTGCTGGGGTGCGGGAGGAGGAGGAGTAGGAGGCGCGGGGGGCTTTGGGAGGATTGTCCTTGTCTTCGGCAGCCTGGCACCGGCGGCATCAGCCGACAGTGCGGGGAAGGGTCTACCCGGGATTACCGGTCTCGCACTTGGTGGGGCGCCCCGGCGACTCGGCGCGCCCACAGGCGTCTTGCCCCTAGAAGGAGAGATGTGCTGGGGCAGTATCCGCGGCCCGCCCACCCCGTCATACACTTCCGGCGGAGTAGCAGTACCGCTACGACCGCGTTTCTTGGGGTTATTGGAGGAGGAGATGTAGACGGCGTCGGGCCACCCGGAGAGGGCGATCATGATGGGGGCTGGTACTGCTGGGGCGCTCCCTCGGCGGGCGCGTGCGCCGGGTGGGAGAGGGTCGTTATCGCGTTGGCGGCGTTCGGGGGGAGGCGAGTTGGGGGACGATTTGGGCATGGGCTTCAGACGTCCCGGCAAAGGCGAGCCAGAAGCTGAACGTGAGGCGGTGGGGAGTGTGGTGATAGGCGTCAAAGGCTGAAGCGCAGGCATGGTGGAATGAAAGAAATTGTGCAAATGATAGAGGAGATGGAAAATAGCGACTTTGAGTTCTTTCTGGAGTGGGGCTGCCGGCAATATGGGTTGATTTTTACGGCAACTTACAATCGATTTCTGCAGTTTTCGGCTCTCGGGCTGTCGGGCAAAACGCACAATTGCAAGGCACCCCACGTGGGGGAGGGTCATTACAACTCTCTTCCTAGTCTCTTCAGCTGTACCTAATAGCGGGTATATAGATAAGCGTTTTTCCTGATCACCCGCGTATGTTTGGTTACCGGCGACAATGAGGAACTGAGGATCCAGATCACCAAAAGAGCGCTATGCATCTCATATCCAGCATTAGCCTACATCCCAGCCGTGGGTTATCCATGTGACGGCCAGGTATGACGATGACGAGCAGAAGAGAGATCTGCGCGCTGCGCTGACGTTTAAGCTTCGAGAATGATTTCCGCCTCTTCGCCCATGTTTCGCGGGTATGTCGACAGCCTGTAAATTGAAAGCCTGTGGTGGAGTGGCGATGATGTTACAGATCGTCATACGGGATAGCTGTAGATCCCATACATACAGCCCATACGGCGCTGTGAGGTATGGTTTACCCCGCGTTGGAGGCAGGAGATGCTCGGCCACGCCCCTTAGCTTCATATTTCTTTTCAACCTTCTCCACTTCCACTTTCACAGATATGGTTATGACTATAGGCGATGCCGATGTCGGAGAAAGACAGTGTACTCGTAGTTTACAGTTGTTGCACTTCTACGGGGTCATACTTCTACATGGCCATAACATCAGTGCAGTAGTCTGGATCCCAACTCCCGGCTGCTTGAGAGCAGACACCCGACGACAGTGACCGGAGCGAAATGAGGAAAAGACATGATAAGCTTCTGCAATTGTCGTTTTGTGTGGTGGACCATCGCCTTTTCTCCTTCTTCTTCTTTTTTCATAGGTAGAGCATCAGAATGTTGATATCACAGTGCAGGGGATCAGAGTCCCAGCTATATATATTGCGAAAAGAGGAGACGCGGCAGACAGCAGGCCGAAGCTGGAAAGATCCCGTGTGGTGTGGTCTGTGGGTGTACAGGTAAAAATGCATATTGTAGAGTCAGAATGGCGCCCGTAGCTTTCCCGTTAGACTGTGCCGACTGACAGGACGACTGCTCCCTGGACGGCGCAGTGTAGTGCAGATTTAGCTGACAACAACAACTCGCTGCTGAGTCGTGCGTCGGCCATCCGAGGGCAGCCGTGGGAAAGCTTTGCCGCGCCCGACTCCCTTGCGCTGTCCGACGGAGTCGATCGTCCATTTCTCTTCCTTTTTCATCCTATCCTCATCTCCCTTTTCCTTGCATTCACATCCTCGCCAGCACGCATTGAAACTTGTACCTCCAGCCACCAGGCTATCGCTCACCTTCTCCCCCATACACTGCCAGGACAAACGACCATGCCCGACCCCACCGGCGCAGATACTTGTACAAGCCCCACTCTAACTCCCTGCCCCATCCAGCTCGACCCTGCATCAAGTATTGCTTACATACCCCTCAAAAGCGCTGAAGGGTTCAGACTGACCCGTGCTGGAGAGGGGGATTTGGATGATCTCGTGGGGTGTATACGTATCTCATTTTCTCGTCGGGGGCGCGGGCTGATCGTGAACAAGGTGGGATCTCTACAACCGGCGGCCGGAATTAGGCAGATGGGCTTGTCGTCGACCGTACCCGTTCGTCCCCTTTCCCCATCAACGATGCCGATATCAAAGCTGACCAAGTGCCCAGATATACCAAAAGCCCATACAGACTTCTACAACTTTCCTGCCAACGCCTCTGTCCGCACCTCCATCCTCAGCACCATATCCCTTCCATCATCAAACCAAAACGCTGGTAAAGCTCGTGCTTCTTTTGTCTTCAACGCTCTGAGAGAAGAGTCGACAGGGAAGGTGGTGGGGATGGTGTTTTATTGGTCCTTCGGACCTTACTCCACCAGAATCAGGAGGACTTTGGGAGGTGAGGTATGATCTGTCGCCTGAGTACTGGGGTAGGGGTTTGGGGAGGAAGATGGTGCAAGGGGCGTTGGAGTATGCAAAATGGGCTGGGCTCACGCAAGTCTGCGCTGTGAGTCGCTTTGAGACTGCCACCTGTCTCTTCTTCTTCTGAATCTTGTCATCGCTGACCTATCACAGTTCCATCAACCCGAAAACATCGCCTCCGCCGCGCTCCTCGCCAAGATCGGCTTCAAAAAAACACGCTGAGCGTCTTGTGGAATGGCCAGAAGAGAAGGGCGGCGGGTCACGGGTGTGTTGTGAATGTAGAATTGAGCTTTAGCGTGTATACTTTGGCGGAGATAGATGGGGTGTACGTATAGTGTGACTTGAATGGTTGTCATGTTTTCTATTGCTGAGAGCCTTGGAACGCCGGATGACACTTCTCCCAACGCGCACAAACAGGTTAATCTCCTATTCCACTACTACGGCCGGCCTTGCCGTGACAGCGCACAAGGTAACAAGAGCTGCATACATCATAGATCTTCCTTATCATTGCGCCACGCAGTCACCATCAGGCCTACGTTTCTTCTTCTCGGGCTTCTCGGGTGGCTCGGGCAACTACACTATATTCAGGATACCTTCCTCCTGAAGCACGTTTATGTTCAAAGACCACATGTACGCTTCGCCTCCAAGCTCTTTTTTGAGCTCCTATCCAGGGGAACAAGATCAGTGCAGTGGCGACTTCCGAGTCCGTACCGACCCACCTTGTACTGTATGACCAAGTGTTCTAGCCTCAGAGCCATACGGACAACGCCATAACCAGCGTGGTGCAACCTTTCCACATTCTGGTCAGATGTACCGGGCTTGAGACTGGCGACTTTCAGCTGTGAGAGGTGATCAAGGATAACGAGACCCTCTCTGAACCAGTTGATCATCAGTACATAGCCCGCTCGAGGGGAAGTCGAGATTCATACCAGAAGGGAAGGACTCACGATGATACAGAATCAAGCGTGGTATACAGCTCGGGTGACAATCTATCATGGCTTGCGTAATGGTGATAGGAGACAAGAAGTGCCTTGCAGAGTACGACAGATATCTTCATATACATCTCAGCCTGAAAGGATCATTGGTCAGATTGCAGCCCAAGTATAATGTCCATTCGAAAGACTCACCAGCGAGAAAAGTGGGACAGGTAGAATACTACGCCGAAACGCATACTTTTCACAGATATCCTCGACCCTTTGCCTCCAAAGCTTGAGTACTTGTACGTTTCCTTCGTTCTCGGTTGCAAAGCAGACCCTTGATATCTTCCTGAACCAGTCGATGAATTCAAATCTCTTGAGCTCACAAGACTCTTCAGCATTGGACAAGGAGAGTTCGGTACCTATCACTGAAAGACCGATGAAAAGGGACGGTTTTTGGAGGTGGCGATTGAGCAGGCACGATTCAGAGGGTGTATGATTCAAAGACGAGGTAATAATGACAGGCAGCGGCGGGTCTTCCCAAGATATCCTTCGAGGTTTATAACCAGGATGTCAATAGTGGAGTCTGTTGGAGACCCGAGTAGCTAACCGCATGCGAGTGCGGAGGATATGATGGAAACGTGGAAAAGCGAACAAACATTTGAATAGTGAGCGTTGTGTATGAACGCACATAGAGAGCGTGTATGTACAAAGGTGGCAGTTTCTACATGCCCCGGAGGTGAGGTCCAGCTCATGCGTGTACATGAAAACATCTGTCACTGCGCCTGGCCGCCACGCTTCATTCAACAGTTACAACAACTGCTTTACATCATTAATCAGACCTCATGCGCCGCCTCAATCTTCTCAACGATCACTCCAAGACAGCTCTTCTCCACCAACACAAACTTGGTCTTGCGCCTCGTAAACGATTTCGTGAAATACTCTTTGACGAGAATCGCCTGCGCCAAAGTCAACCACTGTTGAGCTGTCGGATCGACGTCCCCTCCCGTTCATCACCTCATCGCCCGCTTCTACGCCCACCATGACCGAAGCAGCTCCTTCGGCCGTCGTGCTCTAACCCGGATTCACTCGCCACCCTTACCGGGCTACGGGCTCCATGCGTGCCCGCCCCGGCCCCGGCCCTCTTCGGCGGCATAGATCCTACGTACAGTACTTAGTCTAGCGTTTATCGATATCACCAAGCAGGCATTCTATACGGTCGAGGTGCCTGTCTTTTCTACGCCTGCTCTGACTCCAGCAACAGATGCAACGTTCTGAGCTCTGTCATAGCAAAGAGAGGTGCCAAGGATCGTTTCGCCCCCGCCTTCTTCCTTGGAGAATGGCCCCGGCTCAGCGCACGATGGCCAGGGACCAGGGTAACGCGGCGACCGGCGTCGGATGATATCTCGATAAGCGAGTAAGCGAGTCTGAAGGCAGCATGTCAAGCCCTTACAGGACCGATAGCATAGGCGTAGGCGGTTCACGATATCTTCTACCAACGAAGGACCAAGTTTGTTCTTGTAGAGAAGAGCTGCTTGGAGGTCATAGTCGAAAAGATTGCGGCGGCGGACGAGTCTCTGTAGCGCGATGGATTGTTGTATAGACATGTCACTGCAAAAGAGTCACCGCGATCAGCCGTCCAGAATCGAAACAACAAAAGATCTCGCTCATTGCCCATACGACGAAACTCTTGTCTGCATCGTAAATAAATGCTCCATCACAATCAGTGTTGTATAAAACCCTAGAGGAGAAGAAGGAAAAAGGTAGGACAAATATTCGAACGCGGCCGCGCCCTATCTAGAGGAAGAGAAGGCTAGACGAGGACGGGCGTCGAAAGAGGTTTTTGGGTGCGGGGGATATACACCGGGTGAGGCGAAGAGTGGGTTTACTCCTGGTTGTAGTAGTGAACCTCCTCCTTCTCCCTACCACGCATGAACCCGGGCTCGGTACCCTTGTACTACATTCATCGTCAGCTTTGCCCAACGTACACCAACAGCGAAAGAAAAGAGAGAGAAGTGATTTACGTAGACATCCTGCCAGAACTCGACCAGGTCCGGGAAAGCACTCTCCTTAGCCTCCTTCACAGCCTGCTCAACCTCCTCCTTCGCGCTCTTGTCAATCGCCTTCAAGCTAGCCTCATCCGTCACTCCCCAGTCCAAGATGTACTTTTTCAAGCCGGCAATGGGGTCCTGGGACGATCGCATGGCCTGGACTTCTTCTCGGGTTCGGTAGGTGGTTCCGGGGTCGGACATGGAGTGACCACCGTATCGGTAGGTAACAAATTCGACGACGAGGGGACCCTTGCCGGAGACGACCCAGTCCTTGGCCCACCTGGTAGCTTCTCGGACTGCGAGAATGTCCATACCGTTTACCTACGAGTTGTCAGCGTGGATAAAGAGAAAGGGGAAAGGGAATGTACCTGGAGACCGGGGATCTGGTCACCTCGGGTGAAGAAGGCAGTGTTCTGACTCGACCTCTCGGCAGAAGTACCCATACCGTACTTGTTGTTCTCACAGACAAAGACACAGGGGAGGTTCCAGAGCTTGGCCATGTTGTAGGCCTCAAAGACTTGACCCTGGTTGGAGGCACCGTCACCGTACATGGCGAAAGTGGCAGTGGGCTTCTTCAAGTACTTTTGAGCGAGGGCGATACCGGCTCCGACGGGGACCTACAAAAAAGTCAGCGCGAAGGTAAGAGATAAGGGGAGAAAAGAATGCACCTGAGCACCGACGATACCGTTACCACCGTAGAAGCAAGGGGTGAAGATGTGCATCGATCCACCCTTACCGTACGACATACCGTCCTTCCTGCCCATCAACTCGGCAATCACGCCCTTGATGGTACCACCCCTCAAGACAGCCTGGGTGTGGCATCGGTAGGAAGTGATGACCTTGTCCTCGCGCGTCATACCGAGCTCCATACCAACAGAGACGGCCTCCTGACCGATGGCGAGGTGACAGAAACCACGGATAAGCTTGGCCTTGTACAAGGCGTCGGCGGCCTGCTCCATACGTCGCATCTGGACGGCGGTGTGGTACATGTGGACGAGCTCGTCCTTGGTGACGGTGGTCTCGGGGGCGGGGGCGTCGCATCGATAAGAGTGGAAGGTCTCGGAGTGGAGCTGGACCTTGAACTGTGCGGGGTGTGAGTGGGGCGGGCACAAGGAAGCAAGAGAGGTACCTGTTCAGAACCAGAGGCTGGGAGCTCGGACACGAGGGGAGAAGACTTGTCGGCGTCCATCTGGACGTAGCGGACGTGGGGGAGGGTGGCTCGGAGGGGCTTGAGGGCGGCGGAGCGGGTGGCGGCACGGAGGCCCCGGGCACGGAGGGCGAAGGACATGGCGGTGGATGTGGATGGTGATCTTCTTCGCGCAAAGATGGCGGGCGGCACGGAGCCACGGACTGCCGTGGGGAGGGGAATCCCACGTGGCACAATAAATCACCCCCATTTCTCTCCTTTTCTCCCGCCCTTGTTTGCGGAACTGTCCTCTGTGGTGTCCCGAGCGCTGTGCGTTCTTAACCGTTGAGCGCCAACCCTGTCTGCATCACTGTTAGTCCTTTTCTAATGTTTCAACAACCGAAGGATAAAGTACAACACATATGTGCTCATTATGACATTCTGTTCACATGTATGAGACGAGGGCATGTGAAAACTACGCCAGGCTTTCTCACAGATGTGCGACCTGCAGGCTCCTTTCTGCTCACTTCTTCTCTAATAAAAGACGCGAGTTCCAACCCTCCTATCTTGGAGATAGCTCACCATCCCAGCAGCAATCAGAGTCATCATGTCGATAGACAACAACCAGCCCACATACGTCCAATCCACGGCCACCATGGACTGCTCCACCATCTCCACCCACGCAACCCGTATCACCAACACCTTCATGACCTCCCTCGACGACGATCTCGCTTCAAACCAGTACCGTGAGAAAGAAGGTGCCATCCTGAGTCAGTCTCGAGATTCTATCAAGCAAGATCTCAGCCATGCCGTCTCTGCTGTTCTGGAGTTTGAGATAGATACCAGGAAGAGAGAGGGAGAGACGGTGGGGAGTATGGATAATGTGGCGTTTACGCCGAGTGTGATAGTTCCCGCTACTGGGGCGGGGGTACAGATGTCGGGATACCTTTCGGGTGATGGATGGTCAGGGAGTAGTACAGTCTTTAAAGTTCCTCTCGCGCCGCTCAAGTAGCGGCTGTAAGACAGAGATTTGTTCATACCTCAACCAATCACTGCTCGACTCCTCGTGCTGTGATTAGTTATGCCGATTGGTCAATGGAGATGCATTCTGTGATTCGTTGCATGTAGAGCAGGATACTATAAGGCAGCGGAAAGTGGTATAGAAGACGCGGCCGATGGACGGCTCACATACGGTCAACGTCGTGCAAAAAAGAGGATCATCTCATACCCTCAACAATACCATGATACCGACGCGACTTTCAGAAAGGAAAGAGAGGCATTTCGCATCACCCGACTTGAGAGGTCAACCTATAGTAGGTGCAAATGGCGACAAAAGAGGTCAGGTCTTCTAAGCCTTCTTTCTCGCATGGTTCGTTGAGCTATCGACATGTGGAAATGACGCCAGACTTTCCCATGACATACACATTTCCCACATATCTTGATTTGTGTCTCCCTACATAACCAGTGGTCCAAGAAACATACAGAGAGTGCCTGTCCCCGAGAGAATACACTACCAATACTCCCTACAGATAAACGATTCTGTATATCATGCCCACCACGCCCGAAGAAGAGAATTATACCCGATCTACGGATACCCAATCTGCCAGTGCCGCCAGTGCCGCCAGCGCCGCCTCTCAGCGCTCCACCATCCCCACCCACGCAACCCGTATCGTCACATCCTTCATGGCCACCCTTGACAAAGATGACAGCACGAGCCCATACCGCGAAGAAGAACGAATCCTCCTCCGCGGGCAGTCTCGGGGCAACATCAGGCGAGACCTTTTCCAAGCCGTTAGCGCGACGCTGGGATCCGAGAACAGCCGACTGGAGTCCATGGGGAAGACGGCGGGAAGCATGGATAATGTGGTGTTTAGGCCGGATACGATTAAAGCAGTCTGCGTGGGGGATGTGCTGTTGGTAGGAAATCTTCATGGTGAAGGCTGGTTGGGCAATGCGTCTCTTTCGATCACGCCCTCTCGTCGTAGTAGACGTAGTAGCGGAGGAGGAGGGGACTTTTTTTGAACAAGAGTCGGTATATATATAATAGGCACATTTGAGAGTGGTCAGTATGCATTTTTGGTGATGGCTGAGGTGGTCTGTATCTTATCACATCATTTCCACAGTCATCGTAATCTTACATTGTCCGAAATCAACACTGTGGAAGTCCTAGTTCCCGAGTCAGTCACAGTGTACTCCTATACACACACAGATGACCAGAATGGTGGGGAGCTAGGGAGCTAAGCTATGAGAGTATATATGTATGGGAGACAGAGCGGAAAACGGAAGATATGAATAGATAGAGATTAATGTGGCGTAGACAAAGGGATTAAGGTAAACTTTACGGGTCCCTGACAGGCTACGGGGCCCTATCTCCACAAACACATCCACCTCATGTTCTGTGGCAACGTCCCAGTGATCTAATGTGAGAAAGAAGTCAATTCGTATCTCTCAGGCTCATTTTCATCCCACAGTATTTCCGGATTACAGACGCGGCTCTTCGAGAAATGATCAGGTGACACTGCATCGTCGGACGTCTCTCTTCTGCCTAATACAGACTCATCAGAGGTCAGATTGCTGGTTTGGATAGCGGGGAGTAGCATAGGCTGCGAGGTCCCAATATTGTGAGCCAACATGCACTTCCAGCCTTCATTGAGGAATGTGGGATGTACTCGCGCATGAGGCCTTCTTGAAAATCACATCCAACTCCCCTGTAAACGAAGTACGCGCTTTTCTCCATCTGTCATTGTGAATGCATTCTTTCATGAACTCTTCTATCTTGTTCTAGAAATCTCAATATATGACACCTCATCATGTCGACGCTCTTATCACCAACAAGGGTGGCTTAGAGGGAGATGATGACGAGAAGCCTCTTGATTTTTTTTTTAACAGACGATGCCAACGCATGCTTCACCTACGAGGAAGCCATGTCACTTTGCTCTGGGCAGCCCGTTCAGTCTATCAACGACAACATAAGCAGATCGAGTCACGGCCGCCCTGGCATCTCTCTTCACATGGGGCAATAATGACATATGAACTCGCGCATAACTTTCCCAGAACTCCAGACTTGAACGACCCTTTCTGTTCACTTGTTCAAATAGACGATGGACGCCCCTCTTTTCGAAATACATCATTGCTCACCCAAGATAGTTTGATATTACACACAATACTGTCCACGCCAGAAGACAACACTCAACCCACGGATGCAAGTCTTCCGCGACAGCCGCCACCGATTGCTTCACCATCTCCACCCACGCAACCCCTAGGCCCTCATCATGGGAAACACGGCGGAGGCTGCCTTCCATTGACTAGCGACCTATCTTCTCAAGAGGACAAATTTGGAATCCCATGAGCCTTCTCACTCCTTCCGTTAACGATGTGGCATCTTTTTACCCTCAAGACTTGCTATAAAACTCATATGTATAAACGTTGCGGGCGTCATACCTATCTGGAACATTCGGAGAGGTCTGGAGGGCGTCGCGGGGATGATGAATGGTCTGCCGGCTTCCTTTGCTGTGAAGCGTCGGGTGTCTATTGGGATCAGTCTCTCTTTGTCTTCTGGCGTTTCGGGCCCCCTTATGTACTGCACATATGCTGCGAAGTTTTGGGGCCCACTTTCAGCAAAGCCACCCTCGCGACCAGAGCAGCAATCATGCCCGACAACAACCAACAAGCTTCTGAGAATGTTTCTTCTGACGGCCAGCCTGGTTCTTCAGCTACTACTGCCGATCGGGCCTCTGCTCCCCGATCTTCAGCGGCCTCACAGCAGGCTGTCATCACGACACCCTCTGGAGCCAGGGTCGCTTCCACGGCTTCATTCCGAGTCCTCAATGATCAACAGCTTCAAAGAGCTATAGAGGCTGATACGAAACGACGAATAGCAATGGGACTACTTACCACAGCAGCAAGCTCTTCCCGCCCAGGCGGCTACCGTGACGAATCCACATTGTACATGGGCCACGCTTCCCAAGGTGAGTCATGGAATGACCAGTTATGCTGCTACCGTATCATGCGTACTGATATCGTAACTCATAGGAGGGTCCATGATGCCGCCGCCGCCACCCCGATATCAAGGTCAATCAGGCGTACAAGTCCAATCGTCTCCCAGCCATACATGGCAATACCACCACGGACAATGGACCGAAGATTCTAACCGCTCCTTGGTTCCAAAAAAAACAACAGCTACAGTCACAAACGTTCGGTGAGCAAGATTTCTATAGCAATCTGCTTTTCAACGATGACATTGGGCCCGAAGATGAGGCGTATATGAACCTCTACCGAGCAAGAGGCAGCGACCCTTCTGATAAAGGTAAAAGACCAGCCTTAGAAGCGCCTCCTCTCGCACAGCATCCCCCCAAACAGCGTCGAATCACCGAGACCGGTACAGCAGAGGACGAGGGCGAAAGTGATGAAGTACAAGAGATCGACCCCGCCACAGGCCAACCGGTCTCTGAGGGCCCAAAGAGTACGCGCCCCGCTTTCCGCAACCTCACCTTCAGCGTCACCGTCGAAGCCGATTGGGGCACTTCTCTAGGACCACAGAGTGAAGACCGAACAACGTATAGATACGATATTTCATCTGAGAGTAGAAGCCGAGAGATGCTGCAAGATGTGTTGAGGAATCTCTCGAACATCAAGCTCCAGGACCAGGACGCTTTAGCACAAGAGTTGCGCGAGATGGAGAGTAGGCAGCGGAAGTAAAATGGTAGAGAGTAATCGTTTTTTTGCAGGATGACATCGTACTCGCAGTTTCGAGGATGCTAGGTAATGAAGAAGAGTAGACAAAATGAATCGGGACATCCAAGACCATCGCCAAACAGTCATGCGATGTAATGGGAAGAAAGCGTACTCTACTCGAGTACTGTACTCGTAGAGTACATGAAGCAGCATCACGCGCAAGTCTCATGCATTGTAAGACGACCATTCTAAGCTATGGTTGATGTAACTAAGTACACACAAGAAACCCTCACCATCGGCTCTTGTCAAAAGTCCATGATCAATCACCCATCAACCCCCCCGCGGCAGGAAAGAAGAGGGATCAACCCAACAAATTTCCCAGCCCCATCTTATTCTTCCCCGCCGAGCTACCCGGCCTCTCCCCCTCTTTCCCCTGCCCACTCGGCCCCGAGATCGACCCCCGCTCATTACTCTCACTGACCAACGCCCCCGCCGCTCCCAAGCTCAGACTCCCTCCAATACTCCCCGGCGACCTTGTCAACGGCGGAAGCATCATCGGCGACCCCCATCTCTCTCTCCCACCTCCAGCACTGGTCGGTACAGGCGGCAAACCCAACGAACTTTCCCTGCTACCCGAAGGAGGCCGGATGGAACCCGTCTCTGGGCTAGTGACGAGTATTGGGCGGCTTGGACTGGTGCGTGACCGGGGTGAGAGTGGCTGTCGAGAGGAAGAAGGGTGGGCGTAAGGATGATGTCTCGACCCCGATGGCGCATGTGAAGAATGTCCCCTCGACCCCGTCCTACTCAATCCAAGCTCTTCCGGCCTCGGTAAACCCCTCCTCTCTCTCTCCCTCTCCCCCGGAGCAGGTCCCTGCGGCCAAGGAACGCCAGAACGTTCATATTCTCCTGCCACTGGGAAAGGCGAATAGCCAGCCGCCGAAGGCGGGGGGTAGGTATGCCCATGCGAAGAGGGCGAAGGTAAAGCCGACCTTGGATCCCTCGGGTCTCTTGGGTCTCGGGGATCTTGCATGTAACCAGGATGAGGCGGCATGGATTGATGATGCCTCCCCGGGCCCGGCACAGGGTGCGTCGCCGGCCTCCCTCTCCCTCCCGCGCTCTCACCATAATACCCCGCCGAATACCCGTGCTGGCTGGGATGTGGCAGCCCCGGATGATACCCCGCCGAGCTCTGCATCGACTGCCTCCTATACGGCTCATACGCCGAAGGCGGCGGTGGAGGGGGCATAGCGTGCCCTGGAGGAGGGTAGCCGTAGGGATGGGTATGCGTTGGCGGGGCGTAAGGGTAGTAGGCGTCTGGAGGAGGGGGTGGAGGGTGAGGCCGTGATTCGGCTTGTGGATGGCCGTGATGGGGCGGGACATGGTGGGCGTGGGGAGGATAGTCGGAAGACCCACGAGATCTCTTGCTCGACTGTAATTGGGGTGGAGGAGGAAGGGCATCGTCTTCTTCCGAGTCGGCGGCGGAGGATTTCCGTTTCGACTTGCCTGTGGAGGGACCTGTCTTGGCGGCTAAAACATGGATCAGCGATGACTCTCGTGGAAAAGGGAGGGACGTACGTTGGCGAGGATCTTTCCGGACTCGAATCTTGAGACCTTGCTCCGCAAAAGACACCGACAGATCTGTCGCCTCTGCTCAAACCATCAGCATTATCGAGCACATCAAAAACGACGGACTTACTCGACATTCCAGGGAACTTCTTTGCCGAGTACACCGAGAAAGTCGAAGTAAACATCGTCGTACAGTAATATACCTCCTGGCTGCAACCCATTATCAGCTCTCCAACCCATTACCCAGGCATGAAAGAGGACCCACTCAACGATCTCAAACAACGTCAACTTCAACTTGTACCTCCCCTCCTTCCTCACCCCCAGATCCGGAAAGACAAAAAACGCAGCATCCGTATTATCCAAGTCCTTCAGATGGTACAAACTCGACACGGGCGTCCCGGTCAAGAAGCGTGTCTTGCCATCGTCAATGACGTGCAGTTCGTCTTCTTGCTCTTCTCCACCGACTAAGCAGGCGAAAAGGAAGTAGTATGGATCTACGGCAAAGTCAGCCATTGATCTTGCCTTGCAGGGGGATGGGGGACGCACTGGAGATGGGGCTCTGACTCTGCATGAACGTCATCCCATCCGGTCCTGGCTCTGGCCGTCTCAAGATATTGTGTCGGGGGTCTGTAGGCGTGATATCCGACCCGTGCTGGTCGATGATCTTTAACTGAATGATGGGCGTCGGGTCTACCGGTCTTCTATCCGCTGCACACCCAGTCAGCTCATCTTCTCCTTCAAGAGGCAAGAGGGAACGTAGAGGAGGAGGGGCTTACATTTGTCTCCAACACCGCACATCCTCGCCTGCATCGGCTGTTGTCGAATGATCAATTCGTACGTACTAAGCACGCATTGATGGTCCGTCGCAAGTGCGATATCGGCACATGATTTGGCAGTTTCAAAAGCCGCCCGAGAAGGAGGAGAAAGAGGAGGAGGTCGAGGGAGAGAGGGAGACATTGGAGTGGGCGGGTCGTTGGTCGGTAAGAGCCGAGAGAGTGGACGCGCAGGAGGGCGGATGGTTGGTCGGATTGTTTTTGGACGGGGCGATGGATCGGGAGTTGGTGTGGATGGGCGAGAGCGATGATGAGAGTGAGGCGGCACGTAGACGAGTTGATAACCAGCCGGGGGCGGAGGGATGAAGATGGATGTCGGAGGAAGACAAGCAGAAGCAGAAGGACACATTGAGAATCAGCACTCTGTCGCAGTAGATCGGAAAGTTCGGAAAGAAAAGAGTCAGAGTTTAAAGGCAAGAAGCATGAGAACAATAAGACCCCTCGTCTTTATGAAACGTAGAATCAAGACAAGGTATTGTACGACCCAGAGCCGGCGGCCTCGGTCGATCATCCAAGAGACAATAAGAAAACCTTTCCCTCAACCCTCCATCAAAGCAGAATACACAGAGTCAACCGCCTCCAAGGGTATGGGGACGATATCATACTATCCCTTCCCTCGGCCTCTCGTACGGCCATGGAAAGAACAACCCTCAAAGGTATCCTCCCCTGCGGTTGAAAGGGGGCTTGGAAGGCAGTGACGAGGGTGTGGACAGATTGAAAGGAAGGGGGGACGCGAAGGCGACGATGCCGGAAAGTTGAAAGGTCTTTTGTTGGGGATGGAAAGGATGAGATAGGGCTGTGTTTGGGGATGTGTTGTGGGTTGTGTAGGAGGAATCGTAAGAGAGGGGGCGAAGGGAGAGGATGGAAAGTCGGGCGAAGGGCATGGCGTCCGCCTCCTTGGATGTAGATTCCAGAGAACTTGAGACGTTCTATGAAAGGCGTCAGCGGCCGATCACAGCTCATGTACGAGAGAAGACTCACCATGCCATATCCTTCCACATGGACATGCAACCCAGTAACCAGCGAGAGAAACAAGAAGTGCAACAAAGACACGCGATCGCCCCCGACCCCAGAACGACCTCCAAAACATCCGATAATGCGCAGACGGGTGACCTCCCAACAGCCGACCCAAAAGATCGCCAGACACAAGCCACAAAACACCGATCCCGAGTCTAGACGCCAATATACCAGAGCCCAGACCGCTCCAACATGACGACCAAGCCATAAAGAAGATCATTTCGAACCCAAGCAACACTTTGCCCGAGCTCGAATTCAAGAACCAGAGAATCACAGAACCAGATAGACAAAAACAGGGTGGAGAGCATCACTCACATATTCTTACGACCTTGCCGTTTCTGCGCCCATGTCAGCATGCACCCTCTCGTTCGAACTAGCTCCAACCCACTTGAATGACCGGGACATATTCGTACGCATAGTCGATGCCCTGTATCCACTTTCCATCCTTCTCGCCCCTCTTCTCCTTATCACCGGAGCCAGAGGCGCCAGCTTGGTTCTGTTTCGCAGGCAAAGTCAATCTCGCATCTCTCCCCCGGCTCTTGGCTCGTACCTCTGCTTCCTCCCTCTGCCGTTCGTTCTCTTGGTCTTGAATGTCGGGTCTGTCGGCAGGATTGGCGTGCGAGGGAGGGTGGGAGCGGGGGCTGAGGATGACTGGGCGGGGGGATTGTACAGACATGATTTATACGGAGAGATAAAGAACGTAGAGATGAACAATGGGTAGATGGTTGACTGGACTTCCGTCAGCTCGTACTCCAGACAAAGTTGCCTCATGCCACTCGGCACAGACCACCTGCTGCGCCCAAACCCAGGGGGCTCTCGCTCTCGGGTCTCTCGGGAGCAGAAAGCGATCAGATGCACAAGCACTCACATGGGGTACAGCACACAGAAACAGATCAACCGGGTGTTGTCTTGTGCCTTTCTATCCACAAGTTTGGAGCAGACGAGATGAGAGCAGGGGCGGAGAGGGAAGAGGGGTGGGGGTGGGGGTATATAGCGTGGGTGTGTCCTTTGTCGGGCCTGCCAGTGGGCAAAGGAGCGGCGTGGGGGGTGATACGAGGACGGATTGATGCGTGATGTCGAATACAGGGTGCGTGGAGTGGCAGTTGAAAGCCGCGTCGATTACCTTAAGATGACAATAGGAAAGTGGAGGAACGGATCGACTTTTTTCAATTGAGGAGATCAATTCAAGCTCCAAGGTTTCGCTGGGTGATCCATCCATCCTCTCTTCTGCGTCTTCTCGGCCCTCACCGGCCCCGAATATCCCCTCGCCAACCCCACCATCTACAAGGCACTCTAGGCACATCTTCCCCTCCCTACGCCATTTTTTACGCCGAAGTAGCCGGTGCTAAACCTTGGAGCTTATATCTTGCATATGCCCGGCCCATGTGGTGAGCATGGACCATGGAGTACGAAAAGGGCTGTCTTATTTGGTCTTTGGTGACTTGTAGAGGCACGTCGTGGTTAGGGGCATTCTACATATTTATTGATGGCCAGAACGAGCTCCAAGTGCGTCTCCTAGTGGGCGATCCGGCCAAAATGACCGGTCCTGTTTTTGCGGATCTGTAGGCTGTGGACTGCGGCAATGAAAGTCTGCTTATCATGAGGCCGATCTTTTGTAGGGCGATCATGGAGCAATGATAGAAAATAAGCGCGTGAATTGGCCGAACTGGTGAACAAGTTGACCGATATGTACCAAATTTCAAGACCCAAAAAAGGAGGCTCGCTTGTACATATAGCCCTCTCTTCTAATTTTCGGTCGATGAGACTTCTTTCTTCACTACGCTTGAGCTTGACCGAATGGAGGGTAGGATGTTGATTGTCAAGCTGACATGACACATGAGTAACTACAACTCCCCAAAGGTTTGGTTGGGCCTTCGCTCCTCGTCCTTCTTGTCTCAAGCCCCGCGCTGTACAACTCACCAGCGCACGAGGGCATAGTCGGGTTTGCCAGAAGGTGCAGTGGTTGACCGACGATGTCCCCGCCCGCCTCGACCTTTGCCATTCCCCTGTCTATCCTCAAGTCACTATAGATAGTGAGACAGCATCGGTCCTCATCTGGTCCAGCAGCAATACTTCTCTATCCCCCCATGCTACACGAGACGCGTGCCCTTGAGACGACGGCGCAGAGTATCTTCACAACGCAGCTACCACCAACGATTGAGAACGCACAGCGCTCAGGACACCCAGAACCGTAGTTTTTACCAGGTCGACCCCCTCTCAGGCCCCCTTCACCTGTAAAAACTCGCGCTCTTTGCGCTGCACCCCCCACTTTGCACGCAAAAGTACGAAGAGGAAGAACGCACAGCGCTCAGGACACCCAGAACCGTAGTTTACTCAAATTGCGGGCTGGGACACGGCGTTCCCGCGACCGATGTCACCACCAGCCAAATTTTGGTGCTGTCCCGAATAGGATGCACGTAAACGCAGTTTACAAGGGTGCCTGCCTATGATGGGATGCATGAAAACTCAATCTATGAAGTCGTGGTTGCTCTCGCAAAGAAGAAGACTATAGAAGAAAAGGAGGCAGCAAGGCTGGTGGAGGAGTACAGGACGGCAAAGGGGTACGAGTACACAATCAGTGGTACGAAGAGGAAGAACGCACAGCGCTCGGGACAGATGTCCCAGATGCTTATTAATGCTGCATCTGCTGGTATCTGGTGTCTGTTGTCTGATCAAAACCCCTCCAGAAGTTCGAAACACACATATTTTGTTGCGAATAAATTGCGGCTGGTGAGCTTGGAGTGGACTCTACAGTTCTTGCATTGAGAAGAATATGCTCATCTTGTGTACAGTACGAGTAGAGAGTCCTAGAGGTGGACCATGGTACGCGGTTGAAAGAGAACGCACAGCGTTCGGGACACCCACAATTGTTGAAAAATCTAGAATGACCGGGTCGCATTGCGGCGGTGTCCGCTGGAGATCTTCAACTGGTGGCAAACTGGTGGGAATCTTGTGGGAATCTCTCGCTATTTACCAGTGTCTTTACGTCCTTGCAACGTAGAGCATCTTTGCTCTGATCCCTATAAGCGGGGTATGAGGTGTAGAATAGGCCATGTAACGATACTGTTTGAGCGTGCTATCAACCGGACCATCACTCATCGTTTGCTCAACGTTGACGATGCGACAAACAAATTTCGAAGAGGGGTCTCGCGCCCACCTTTCATCCATACATCGCTAGACAGAGAAATCTTCCATATCCCCAGGTCGTCCAAAAGGAGACCTGTTGGAACACATACCTTCCTGTCGACAGTGCATAGCAGACGACGACCTACTACTCTTTGCCTCTTCGATCCATATCGAGTACAAGAAGACATATTTGTGGACCGACTGGACAGTCAATTGTACAAACGAAAAGGAGGGAAAAGCGAATCATGTTGAAGAGACTTGGAATTCATGCTTCTGTACCTCATGCTACTACTATACACCAGCAACTTCAACCCTTTGAAAGAGAGAACGACCCTTCAATGAAAACAACCCATGCTTTTGATTTTCCTGTTTACTCAATGTCACCAACCTGGTCCTCCTCTCCCTCATCCGGCACATAACTTTTCCCTCCCAAGATCTCTCCAGCCCTAAACGCACTGGTCGACCTCTGCCTGCGCTCTTGCCCTTGGTCCGCCCCACGTCCACGTCCACGGCGGTCATCTCCCAACGCCGAGGTGGTAGACGGAAAGTTGACGTTGGAGCCACTACCATTTGGCAGTGCCTGCGTCGTACCCTTGGTGGAGGAAGAAGACGAATTGGGAGGGAGCGGGTTGCCTTGGGCGTCGGCGGGGACGTAAGATACGACGTAGCCGAGCTTGCCGGGGGGGTTGGCGCCGAGGCAGTGGAGGCAGGTGAGTTCGGGGTAAGCGACGTAATACGCAGGGGGGTTCTGTTGGTTATTGGAGAGGGAGAGGGAGGAGACGTCTTTGGTAGCGCCTTGGGTACCATCCCTGGGACATCGTCAGCTGGTGAAGACACGTGGACGTGGAAGATAAAAAACTCACCCGGCAGGAGCCCAAGGCCTGAGGACGTTGGAAGAGTCGACTTGGCCGGCGCCATTGCTCTTACCGCCTTGGCCTTGCTGGCCCGGGGCGAAAGAGGGATGCCAGATGATGGCGGGGAAGGTAGCGTTGGGGGCGGGGCCGTGGGTGTGAGACATTGTTTGGTTCTTCTGGGTAGACGTCAGTGGGATGTGGTGGAAGAGGGAGGAGAACGTACGATGTATCGTTTGTGGCAAGAGTGGATTAGGAAAAAAAGAGCAGAGTGAGCCGTCTTATATATGGCTGCACGCCCTGGTACTGCCGGCCGAATAAATGTCACATGACAAGCCATGACACCACCCCTTTGCCTCTTTCTCTCGACGCATGACCCATTCCGAAAGCATAAGCGAGCAGGTTATCCCATCTGTGAAGCTGTATACGTGATATTTCGAATGATTAGCAGAGCATTAGAAAAGCGGGCGCGGTATTTCGAACAACGGCAAGAAGAAGAGAGATGGGAGATGCCAAGAAATGAGACGTGGCGTCATTCCCGAGGCGAGTCTCGGCTGCGTCGTCCACGACGACGAGGGGCACGTTCGGGGCTATCAGATCTGGAGGTATGCATGCGAGGGTATAATTGTCACTGTGCCGTACAAGCATGCATCATCCTGGACAGTCGACAAACAAGTATAGGCAGAGGAAAGAAACGTGCCTTCGGGAGATTATCCGGTTCCGGCACACTAGCCGGAGGGGCCGGTCTTCCGAACTATGGCGGCTTGTTGGGTTCGCTTGCTTCCAGTTTTTCTGTTGCAAAGAGCAGCATGACGCTGAGAAGAGCACTTTGAGTAAGCAGTAGAGGACAGCTTGATATTTGATACTAGATAGAGTGACAAACGGAGACTCAGATCATACGCGCATGATAGCTCTCGAGCTTGTTGGAAGAGACGTATGCCGGTCCGTTGCGTTCTTCTTTCCCTCTGAACACTGATTACCCTGTTCATGTCTATCGTCAACTTTAACACCGTCTTCACAATCTTCACAAAAGCAGAAGCAAAACCAACAAGGCAGCAAAAAGCAAAAACGACGGCACCCGGGATTCCCAGGTGGTCCCCCACCCTGGTACTAACCGAGCGCTCTCCTAGTTGACTTCGCGGATCAGACGGGACGCGGTACTTTGAGGAGGCTATGGCCGTCGATGTATAGTTTTAACTTGCATTATCTATATGGCTATAAACATCTCTGCCGAAGATACTTTCACTACTGGATATGTATAGCTGTGGGACTATGTGTTTGCCTATTGACCCCCCTTGGCCCCGTGGCTCTGGGCCTGGGCGAGGCTGCCGTTGCCAAAACGTTGCCGATATCGCTGTGGAGGCCAGCAACCTCGGAGCCTGATATGCCAAGGTCAGTTTGTTTCCGAGTCCCAAAGTAGATAGCTCACCTTTTGTCTCCCCCAGACCCGAAGCCTGCACCGGAGCTGAATGCCAGAGGTGTAACCTTCTAGTTTCGGGCTCGGTATCAGTATATATGGCAGCATAATGGTGAAATTGATACTGACTGTTGGACATGTTGATTGTTGGGGTGGTTTTGGTTCGTTGTGGAAAGTACGAGTACAGAGTTAGAGTGTGGTGGTTTGATGATGAAAAGCTGGTGTAGGGAGCGAGCTGAGATGAAGAGATATTACTCTCTTTCATGCGCGTCTTCTTTCATCATGTGACACATCTACATCTGAGCAGCATGACTCGCAATCAGAAGAGAAACACCGGACTGTCGGACGTCGCAAGTCAGTTATAGTGGCGCAGGAGACATCAACGCCCGTTGCTGCGAACGCTCTTCTGATGTTGATATCAACAGTAGTGAAGAATGTCCTGGCCCTCTCGGCCAGTAGCATTACTGCTGACAATAGAGTAGCTGGAGTCCGAGCTCGCCTCCAGTGTCTTCAGACGTCCGCACTGTCGTCACGCAGCGACGGGCAACACGCAAGATGGCGTGGGATGACGAGAAACGCCACTCCGAGTCTCATCTATCCACAAGCGCATGGCGCCTCTAAATTACTCTCTGATGATATTGGTGGGCTTAGGCTGATCTACAACATCAGTCATGCTAGTGCTTTGTCGTGTTCACGATTGAACGGACCATACTGTTCCGTTGTCAAGCAAAGGCGCCTAGATTAATGCCACAGAATTCTTCCATACGCCTCGAAGATGCTCTGGGTCCTTTCTTTCTCCGCTGTTCTCCTTTTGGAGACAAAAAAAGAAGTACGACTGCATCAAAGAGTACTGCGTGAGGCTCGGCGACCTCGGCGGGCGGCCAGGGGTGCTGAGGTTCACCTCCTCGGCCTCCTCGACCGATCTGCTCAAATGTTTCGTTCGAGGTGTTCGGAGCCTCGGGGCGCTGTTCTCAAGACCTCCATCTGTGGCTGCCCATATGGTTACACGTTCGAGACGACTCTCGCATCTGAGTAGAGCCACAAAGACATAGACAGAATAGGGAAGCCTGATCTACTACTCTACTCGTCCACGGGGGGGGGTGTACGTCGTTGCTCTTCAATCACGGCCATTTCAGCCTCCATCTTATTTAGCCTCTTCATCCTCTCTAGCAGCGACGCCTCCCTCTCCCGCATCTCCATTCGAGCTTCTTATATCTCTCCCGCCTCTCTTGTTCGCTCTGCATCTCCCTCTCCCGCATCTCCTTCTCTCGCCTCACAACCTCCTGCATTTTTTTGTTCGTTCGGCAACTCCGTCTCCCGTAAACGCTCAGCCTCCCTTCCCTGATCCCTCTCCACAGCAAGCTGATTCACCTCCCACCCTGGATCTTGCGAGTTCACCCATTCATTCCTCCTCATATCGGCGACAGCAGAGAGCGAATCTTCCGCCAGCTCAACCATCTGGTCTACCGTCACAAACGGGTCGTTGGTCCCCGCTCGCTTCTTTGGCGGTTTGCGTAGTAAAGTTGAGGACAGCTTGGCTGATGGTCGGGTGTATGGAATCGCGGTTCATGGCCTTCACGAGAGCGTTGTCGACGTGTTGAGAGCCCTGCGGAATGAGGCTTAAAGTTGTTGCTTTTTGGGCTCATTCGCTGGGAGGGGGTCGAAGAGAGAGGTTTAGTACTGTCGCTGCCGAGTGCCCATCTGTCTTGTCAAAACGCCCGTTCACAGCTCCACACTTGAGCCAGAAAACAATACATTCTTATACCGTATCTATTCCAAAAATCATGACCCCGTCAAACTACTTCATCCAAGATCAAACGTTAACGTTCCACTGATCCAATTCTCACTCTCTTTTCTGATCTAAGCGCTCAAATCACCCTTGTAGATATAACCATCCTCATGCGGGGGCGTGAGTTTGTCGTGCAACAAGCCCGCCAACTGCTGGTACTCCAGATCGCTCTCGACGTGGGTAAAGTTGACGTGTTGCCAGGGCTGGTTGGAGGCTTCTTCTTCTTTACGGCGCTGTCGTTGATCGTTCTGTTTTCGGGTCAGCCACAAGTACGCAGAAGGAGAGAGAGGAGGGGGCATACCTCAATACGAGACTTGTCCTGTCCAGCCTGATCATAGTTCCCACTCCTAATTCCCTTCGCCACCTTCTCCCACAGCTTTCTACTCTCCCACTCTCCCTGCTCCTGCAGACTCTTCACACTAACATCCTCCAACTGCACCGTCGAATCACAAAACACCGGGCCCTTCTTGCCAATATTCGACACGCCGGTCCATTGACCTTCATAAGTCTGGGTGTGCTTGGAGGGGTGCGCAGAGGGGGCGATGGTAGCTTTGAAAGTGTGGGCTTTACCGGAAAAGTAGCCTTTGCCTTTGTAGTCGATTTGGGCGGTGAGGTTGGTGGAGGATTGGATGGCGTTGGAGTCGGTGAGCTCGATGTAGGGGCTACCCCAGAGAACGCCTTCGATCCTGAGCCGGGCTATCTAGAGAATCAGCGTCCATTCTGTGAGACAGTAAAGAGGAAAGGGACGTACGGAGGGTGATCAAGTACTTTTCCTCTTTACCGCCAGTCTTGGGCTGGACAGTCAAGATGGCATGTCCAGATTGTTTGACGTTGATAGCTGTACCAGTGAACGAAGTCTTCTGGCCAGAGTGACCCTGCAGCTTGACGCCGGCGACCTTGTTCTCGATATAGTAGGCAGTCTTGACAGGATATCAGCACCATCGCGCTTACTAAGCAGAATAGAGGACACTCACGATAGGAGGGTGGTGGGACACTTGCTCGACGACAAGCTTGGTCTCGCCCCGGCCTCCAACGTCGGGCCAGACACCGTAGAAAAGCTCGCCAAGGACGGGGTTGAGAGGCTAATCATCGCGCGTTAGATCGAGGGGGCATGGTGTAGGTGCGCGGAATGCGCGGAATGGGTGATGAACTGACCTTCTTCTCGGAACCCATCTTTTCGTTACGAGTCTGTATTTCCTATCAGCTTCAAGCCTCTTGGTTCTCATAGGGAAGACTCACAGTGTACTGAGCTCGCAGAGTACCGATGAACCACCTCAGAACCCTCTCCATACGCTCAAACTCATCCTTGCCCTGGGAGATGGCGGCGAATTCGTCGGGGTGCTGACACCAGTAGGCAGGGAACTCGGTGAGGGAGGTGGGAGAGAGGATGACTGGCCCGGATGGTCAGTGGACAGCGAGATGCGTTCCAAGGACACTACGCACAAGGGGGGGCAGTCATAGAGCTCAGATCGCCAGTCATACGAGTCAAGCTCTTGATGAAACTGGCCCATCCGGCCTTCTGCTCTTCGGGGACATCGGCGCCTGCCATGGTTGTCAGTTGATGTCGCCACTGAGATTGTATACAGAGGGTAAGAAGAGAAAAGAAGGAAATCGGAATGGGTCGTCAAGAGGGTCAGCTCAAAGGAGAGCCTTGGGAATGGGGGCGAGCCCCGCCGGCTGATTACCATATCAGGCTAAGTGGTGACGAGGAACCGCTCTGTGTTTGGCTCAAGGGCCGTCTGGGGATGTCTGAGACGGAAAAAGAACACAAGCGAGCGATGGGCTGGATCGGAGGGGGGGCTCGGGGGGGGCTTACCTTCGGCCTTGACTTCTTCGTTGGCGGACTTGAGGGAGCCCTGGGAGGGGCGGCGGGAGGGGACGGCGGACATGGCGGGGCTGACGAGATGGGGAATAAACAGAAACCAACAATCAAGTGCCACAGACGCTCACGGCCGCGGAGAGGACACCGCACAGCTCGTGATGTCATCCACGTGGAAGCCCCCATTTTTGGGGGGAGGCGGCGGGCCCCGCTGCCACTCTCTCTGCTCTCCAGCGTATCTATGCATTCAACTACTGCTCAACTATCTCTACTTTTCCTTGGGCGCCCTCTCTTCGAGGTCCCCAGAGTCCATCCTTGAGAAGCTACTAAACATGGTATCTGCCTCGCTTTGTTGATTCGAGAATGAGGGCTGGAACATCGACTGATTGCTCTGCGATTGAGCTGACCTGGAAGGGGTGGACGCCGAACCACGCGAACGGCTTGGCACACTCTCGAGCGCTTTCCTCTGCTCCTCCGAGAGATTGCTGTCAGAACTGTTCTGTTGGGACATTTTTTGGTGATGGTTTATCTTTGATGACGGTTGCGGAGGAACTAATGGACAGGAGAGGAAAGGGAGGTATTTATAGGTTGCATAATGATTGACACTCATGTCTACATCAAAGGTGTCCCCGTCGGTCACAGAAATCTCGTGATAGGATAGTATAGTACTCAGCAGCATCTTCTTAACGACCGCAAATTGAAAACTGTATGGTTGACAGTCATCATCCTTTCTATTGTGTTTCCAAAACGTGATGAGAAGGACATTTCCTCCCCGACCGAGGTATGTATAACGGGGCAAAGAAAGGAGGGAAAGAATGAAATGCCTGTTTTGTTTTCGCCTCTCATTAGTGAGGCAAGTTACGTACCTCGCGTGGGAGAGGCGTACCGCTAGAGGATACAACAATCCGATAGTCACCAAGATGTGCCAAGGCTGACGATAGATATCAGTCACGGTCATTCATTGCACCTCATTACCTTCGAGGAGAAAGCACTAGCCATCAAAGCAACAGAGGCAGCGAGGATACCCATGACCTGGAACGTTCTCTGCCATCGCGGAACTGCCGTCAGGAATCTAGATGTTCTTATCAGCAAAATGTGTATTGACTCTTGAGAAACGCGACTCACGGCCCGATGACAGCAGAGTTCATGTAAAGCAATCCGGTTTGGAGCTTCGCTACAAGGGTCAGAGTGGAGCTCGACTGGTTCGGGAAGAGCGTCGACGTCCAAAAAGCCAGAAGCACGCCAACAGCAAACAGGATACCCCAGACCAATACCGCAATCATAGTAGCCGCAACTAGAAAGATCGATTCTTTCTTCCCTCCGTCTACGGGAGGGAGCACATATTGCGCGATAGGCTCGATATCTTTATGGTCGTTTGTACAATGGTAAGAGACGATAGGGACTAGTGGGATGGCAGATGAGCTTTTGCGGAGGTCGGAAAGCTCTATGGCTTCTTCGGAGACGTGAGGTTGGTGTTGCGGAGTGGCCATCGAGTGCGTTTAGCTGGTAAAGCTTGGCCGCGCGGCGGAGAGAGTAGGATGGGTACGTGAAGGGCAAAGATCGGCCAGTATATATATGCAAGGCGGCACCTGCTAGCTCATTCCTCGTGAGTCATAGTCACGATAAGGATCAGTACATTGCGGCGCGTTAGGACTTAGAGTGACGATATGCCCGTGCATCGGAAATCGCCGACGGATTTCTTAGCACATGATAAGCCACCGGTGGTGTCGCAGCCGTCTTCTATTTCAGCTCGTGAGGGTGTGAATATATGGCACCGGATTTGCGCAACATTGCCTGATGACAAGCGTGCTATGCGGTAAGGATCACGGAAAAGGGAAGAAGGTGATTGCATTGCTTTTGTCTCATCTTACGTTACCGCCACGCGCGGTGATCATCACTCAACGATGTTGTTCGTGGAGCCCTTTTCCCTTGAAAGACCATCACCAACAAGCCCACCCGAACATGTGCATGGGAACCCGGCAGACAGGGTACAGCCCAAGTACAAGAGCTCTGAAAACTCCATTATAGAAAAGTGTCCTTGTTGGGAGCAAGCAGCGACAGAAAGAAGACGAAAGAGAGAGCCCTGCTATCTACAACAGCCGCTTACTGTGTACTTGTATGTGTATGCTATTGCAATAAATGAATAGGTGGAAAAACATATTAACGCATATAATTCACCAACAGCGAAATGTGTACCGTAGCAACATCATCAAGACTTCCACATGAGTCCCGTTGCTCCACTGGCGAGAATGGTGACAGTCGCATAGATGATGAGGATGCCCTTCGGTTCATTATCAGTATTCTCTTTTCTGTTGTCTGAATAATGGGACGCAAAGCTTACATAGTTGTGGAGACCATAAGCACCGCTAGCTTTCCCGTTCAAGGCTGTAAGTTTCAAAAGAGATTGCGAAATCGGTCCGCAGACCAAGCTGCCGATACCTCTGACGAGCGTGAATATCGCGAGCACCAGCGGCGGTGCCACAGGATCGTCTTCTATGCCATCTGATCAGCCATCGCACTCTGATAGATAAGAAAAGAAAAGATAGACACTTACTAGCAATGACCGAAATCATGCCCGTCCAGAGTGTTGCAAAACTCAACCCCAACGCCCCAAAGATGATTGAAAATCCCACCAGCATGCCCCCATTGGTGCCAAAACCCCACAGAATCGCACACGACAAGGCAGCCATGGATAGGTTGAAGAGCATGACTAGTTTGAGGGGGATACGGTCGGAGAGGTAGCCCATGAGAGCGTTGCCGGGGATGGAGGAGGCGTTTAGGATGACGAGGATGATTGTGCCGTTTGGGTTTGTAAGGTTGAGGGCGTTGGCGTAGGCTATGGCTGTTCAGCGATGGTCATAGAAGGAGCCAGAGAGAAGACATACAAGGAAGCCACAGACTCGGGATAAAGTTGCCGAGGCTCATGAGAAAGACCATTGTCGTCCCCACAATAAACCCCCGGCTCTTCAAGGATGCCCAATTGATATTACCCCCTCGCCTCTCCCTCTGACCATGCGAATTTGGCACTATAGGGATTCTCGGGCGGATGGCCAGGATAGCAGCAGAGCCCACAAGGGCGTACCCGAGTCCGAAACCAATCATGGTGGCTTTGTACCCCACCTTGTCGAGGAGGAAGGATACGAGGAAGGGCATGATGATACCGCCAAGACCGGTGCCGGCGTAGAGGATGCCTGTAGCGAGACCGCGGCGAGTGTGAAACCACTCAAAGACGAGGGTGATGCAGGGCATATAAGTGATGCCGGAGAAGGGATAGACGCAGCCAAAACAGAGGAGAATGTGTACGGGCTGTGGACAGTATTAGGAAGGATCTCTCGACAAGATATGGTGACTTACCTTGGTAGCGAAAGCACTGGCAATCATAGAGAGTACAGCAAAAAGAAGACCGAAGAATTGGAGTTCGCGTCGCCATCTTGGAAGCGCCGGCATAAGGCTACACCCCGTCAGATCATGCTCTTTTCCTTTCGAAACGATAAACCCACAAGCCAGCAGCAGCGGTGCAAATATAAAGCAGCCCAGTTTGAAGAGTCGAAGCGAGGGTCAAAGTAGCGAGCCCACCCTGATTCTTGAACAGTGTATCGTTCCAGTACAAGGCGAGGATCCCAACGGAGAAAGGCAGCCCCCAGACCAAGAGCACAATGACCGTAGCAGCAAACAAAAACAACCACGCCCTCCAGCCTTCGTCAACCGGAGGCAAAGCATAAGACGGTTCAGCATCTTCCGGCCCACGCTCGTCGATACGGTTGACGATAGCTGCATGTCGACTGTTGCGAGACTGAGCCGTGGCAAACAAGTCATGTTCGGAGTATTCTGTGGCAGGAGTCCAGGCGACAGGGGTAGCAGGCACGGATTCGGAGAAATCGTACTCCGAGTACTCGGACATGGGGGTCATGATGATGGAGTGGGCGGGCTCGGGGTGAGATTGGTTGTAGGAGAGCTCAGCAAGATTGGAGACAGGGGTCATGGCGATGGACGTTGCGGGCTCCATTGTGAGTGGACTCGAGGGAGGTGGGGATGATGAGGGTTGGCGTTAGAGAGGTAAGAACTACGGGCTCTTTATAGTATCCAGATCTAGCTCACCCCACTTCAAAACTTCGCCCCCAACGAACAGTCCGATTGAAAAGATCAGCACGAAGCAAGCACGAACAAAAGACTCATCTCACGGTCCGTAGCTCTAGACCATCTGGACCGCCTGGTGCGCTTAAGGGCAGGGAATACTGATGTGGTGTAGACTGGAGAACGGCAGAATGAGTGATTCGTCGGTGAAATGTGACTTTTGGAGCATGACTCGTCAGAAAACCGGGAACGTATGGGGGTGAAAATCAGCCTCAAGCGTCGGTCAACGCTCCGATATCTGATCGTGTACCATGGCAGCTGCGACCCGGTGACATCCTGTCTAGCGCGGTACCTCTTTCGCAAGTCTTTCGGAGCTGCGAGAAGGGTCATGTCCTTCAGAGGTCTTTTTAAGTTTTTGCTTTCGTCAGAAGTCATTCTGTGGGTTGACAGACGGCCAATCTTCTGGCTCCTTATCTCTTTCGAGCTGACGTACGCAAGCCAGCAGCAGGGATGTGGAGCATGTGTACTCAGCTCAAACTCCTGAAGGAAATGCTGCTCTACTCATGTTGAGTGACCTGCCATGCACTGTGTTTCCAATATTGAAGCCCCGGACCCTGTCATGCGACATCGCGTAAACTTCTCTGGCCAGCGAGTGGAGCCAGAGGACGCAAAGGAGGGGGTACAGGGTCCGAGCGTCCGCCAACACTCTGATCCGTCCCCTCCGCACCCAGCTCGACGAGGGTCCAAGGGCGCACCGGATCAGGGCTTAGTATGAACTAGAATCCAGGCTTAGAGTAGAGGGGGATGTGCAATGGGTGGGCAAGTGCAAGAACCCAGGAAAAGAAGATGTAAACATACATAAAGGGGGCCTTGAGGATCTCTCGGCGATCACTTGTCTGATCGAGGGGAGGCCTGGTTCCTAGCATCCGTGCAGCGTCAGCATGTGCTGATCCCACACCTTTCATGGGCACATTCCTGCAGGCATATGCATATCTCATGTGTATGATCGAATGTGCCTATACTTCGGAAGACAGATGTAGAAGCCGTACCAGAATAGTCTGGGGCGGACTCCTCTCATGGGGAAAACTGAAAAGACGATAGAAGAAGGCACGGCACTGAGCTGTCAACAAGCCGTTATCCTCCTTGTACGTACGTCCAGTATGCGAGTCATCTAGCGACGGCTGGATGGCATATACCGTTTACAACCAATTCTTGATTTGAGGTCTATGTAGATGGAACGATCACCATATGCATCGTAGGATGAGCCTCAACAGTCAGGCGCGGCGGGAGTCGGAACGTCGCGTCTTTCACCAACAGTCACTCAACATCAGCAATCACCGACTTCCTTTTCTTGCGTGACAATTGGTACTTGCAGCCATCATACTACTTCTACAGTAGATCATATTCACATATATCAAAGGTACATGCAGACCCAACGAGGTCCAGAACGCTCTGGCCAAAAAGACGATCATCATCTGCTACGGATCGTACGACAACATACCGATGATTCCGGTATCCAACCCACCCAGTTGTCCGACTCTCCGATTCCATCAAACAATCTGGGATACCGTATACTCGATTGTCTAGACTGGCGTGGATCGAATCGTGAATTCCCCGTGTGGTCGCTGTTGAGGTATCGCAAACGTTAGCTTTTTGTGCATCGTGATCAGGCGCAATCGATGTAGGGCTCGCATGGCTATCTGATACGATCTTTCGATGATATGTCTACAGATCCTCCACCCATGTACGTCTAGATATTAATCGAGCGTTATACAACAACACACAACAGGGGACCATTCATCCGACAATTCACCGGTCAGAAGCTCATTCAACCTATGCCAACGCTGTGTTCGTTGTTGCCTACCACTCAAATGCCCTGCATGTCGCCCCTACTTTCGCAGAGCACAGAACGAGAATTTGCTATAAGAAGAATAGTTGCATCCTCGTCCACATAGACCCAGCTCTCAGAGCCTCTGAAACCTATGGAACAAAGGAATCATAATGAAAAAAGCCTCTAATGATTCTGCCTCGGTACCCCCGCCGTCTGCGCCAACCTCTGATACTTCTCCGCCCCCCTCACCGTCATCCCCTCACTCAACTCTCCCGCCGTCTGTCTAAACAATTCTTGCCACGGCGTCTGACTTTCCGGTACTTTGCCCCTTTGCTTATACGTCCCCCATTCTTTCCTTCTCTTCTCCAACTCTTCGGGGGGGAGAAGGACGTCGGCACGGCGTTTGAGGAGGTCGATCCGGATTCGGTCTCCGTTCTGCAAGAGGCCGAGGGTGCCACCGGTAGCTGCTTCGGGGGAAGCGTTGAGGATACTGGGTGACCCCGACGTGCCGCTCTGCCGTCCATCGCCGATACAAGGCAGCTCGAAGCCTTCCTTTACGAGTCTACCTGGAGGGAGCATGTTGAC